GGGCGGGGGCGCGCGCCACCCTGCCGGTATGGGGGCGGTGGCGGTGGCGCGGGGAAGGACACCGCGTAACCTGGGCCGGGCAATCTTCCACCCGAGACCCCCGCCACGGCCCCCGCCCCCGTGCCTGCCACTTGCACGCGGTAGGCAGCAGGCGCCGCACGTCGCACGAATGTAGGGGGCCGTGGATTGGGGCGCGGCGCGGGAGACGCGGGCGGGGTGCAGGGCCCCGCCAGTGGGGACCGCACGGACCCCGCCATGGGGGCCGGAGTGCGTGCCGTCCGGTACTCCGCGAACGGTGGACGACCCACTGCTAATTCCACCTGCAAACACAAATGACAATCATAAGTACATTTTTATGAAGTACCAACTATGAAACGAAAATCACTACATTTACGATAATATTCTCATAGACGTAAGTCTGCATATTTTTCATTAGTTGACTAACCTGTCCATCTTCAAGTCGATCTAGCTTAGCTGGATGCTGAGGCGGCTTCGGCCTGGGAGAGGGCGCGGCTGCATCGTTTTGCAGTAAGTTGACAAGTAGCGGGGAGGACATGGCGACCGTGGGAGGTGTAGGGGGTGGACCAGGAGTGGTCGGAGTCGTAGGGGGCTGGGGGGACGCCGCGGGGTATGGCGGCGGGGGGCCGGGGAACGCTGACGTAGACGGTCGCGCGAACGGACCGTCTGCTTGCGGCCTTATACTGCTTGGAGGACCCGCCAGTCCTGGAATGTACAATTTAGAATAAGTATTATGTGCTTTGGATGTAAAACAAAATGTGTATAACAAATGGTGTGATTTATTATTTATACAGTAAAGAAATTTTATTGAAAAAATTAATGTATAGAAGAAGTGCAATAAATAAGAGACCAATTCACAGTTATGAACTCACCCATGGTATTCTCCTTGCGATGTATAACCCTCGCTTGCGTCATACTGCCGAAGGGGAACTCGCATCGGTCGGTGGTCGGCGTGGGAATGTTGTGTGGTATCTTGCCGTCCATGGGACACACGGTGTTGGGGGACTTGAAGCTGTCGGGCGGCGCCGCGGCGGCCGGCGTCTCCGTCGTACTACTGCTGCCCGCGCCATCCGACTCACTCAGAATGCGACCGATACCGCCCAAACCAGCTAGTAGTTCCGCGTTTGGTTGCGATCTTGACGTACTTGCATCTATAATGTTGGTTATATGGACTCAATAAGCTATGAATAAATCAATAAGCTATGAAGAATAAAAGTTTATGTGCTATTCACCTAAACTTTTTCATGTATTAGATTGTAAAAAGTTTGATTTGGAGTATCAAAAAATTATCAGATCTCATGTTGAGACTATTTTTTTAACTCTACAACTTGATTTCACGAACTCTAAACCTTTGCCAGCCAAAATACACGGTTGTAGCTATAGCTAGAATATGCCTTTAATTTTTAAACAAGTTCAAAACATGCATGAGGTGCATAAGCCTCGGGAGTTATGTTATGGGAAAATCTATGAGAAAGTGATTGAGCGTGTACGAGTCAACCACCGTACTTACCATCAGGGTCGGTGTTGATCCTGAGTTCGGCGCCATGTTGCAGGCGCAGTGACACGGCGGCGTCACCGTCGAGCTGCACGGAGAGGATGCCGAGCGCGCGCAGCTGCGGCGCGCCCGCCGCCGCCAGCGCACGCAGCCGCGCCGCCGCCGCGCGCGGCACCGACAATGTTACGCGCACCGAGTTCCAAGGCTCCACCTATACAACAAACAACACTATACTAACATACTGCTAAAATGTTGTAGAGTTATGCTTCAGCACCAATGGGCCAACATGGTCGAGGTGATATCACGACCTTACAAAAAACCGGCGTCAAACAACCGGTTTATACCGGAGACGTTACTCCTCTGTCTGCCATCCCCAATCCTCAAATTTCTCACCCTATAAACTTCAAAATGCCGACAACGAGAATTTCTTAATTTTCCTTTCGCGACTGTCTATCGTTCAGTATAAACGCGATAAAAGCAAAAACTATGATAGTGAATAGAAAGGCTTATGTATAATTAACTATAGGTTTGACCACGTGGGTGAAGCCACAGGCGAAAGTCTAGTCAAGTCATTTCAATTTTTGAGTTTGACACTCTAAAACATTTCCAATAAATTCTACCTACAAAAACCATAAAACGCCTATCATAATAATTTGTGCGCTTTTATAAATTACGTAAATTATAAAAAAAAGCGACGTAAACTATCCCATTATAAACACAATAAAGCATACAAGAATACTTTGTTATTATATTGGACAGGAACACTTCCACTTAGAGCCTCTTCAAGCATAGATTAACATAACAATAGAGAATAAACTATTAAACTCGATGTAAAAAGACACACATTAGTCAACTAGGAAGTGTCGTTTGGTCCGGGAGAAACCAGCACGTATGGTTGGCTCATAAAAATTTTGTAGCTGATTGGCTGAACCCGCCCAAATAGCTTCGCAAACTTAGCTTTTATGACGAAAACTCGCAGGCAATTTTATCGTGAATAGTACATTTAAGTCGTTCGTGGCCCGCTTTACAACAAGGACGTACCTATTAAACTTTGGTACGACTATAAATATACACAAAGGAAAGGAAACCCTATTTTAAGTATGGATTAAGCAAAAACTACGTCGTATTTTCTTTTTTTTTGTACAAAAATCTGCATAAACTACGTTCAACTTTGACATTTACCGGCATAATTTCTGTGCTATAATTTAATTGAGTTGGTAAATTTATTCAAAATCTAATTTGTGCCACGGAGTTTATATTGATAGCGTAATAAAATTGATTAATAAACTTATCGGAGACAGAATGAGTAAGGGGGGGGGGGTCGTTGCATGTCTTCTAATGATGGCGGCAGATTTAATTCTTCGAAATGATAAAATAATCTTGAATTGGTATTAATTAGAAAGGTTAAGTTCCGATGACCGGTGCTTGACGAGCGTTTTGCCCCATAGCTATGTTTGCAGTTTTATTTGAAATTATCTGATCGTAAGTCATAGCTGCGTATGCGCAGATAATCTGTATTTAATTATCTGTTTGATTTAGACTTTTGTGATCTATACATACATTATACACACTTTTGATTGTTCATCATAAGTAACGAAAACACAACAAAACGTTATTTCGTAAGAAGTTACGAACCGCGTGTTTATTAAGTTAAATTGTCGACAAGTCTTTGAAGATACGACACCGAAAATGTATGTATGTATGTACATTGCTTTATTTTATACGTAAGTACTTATGTGGTTCTTTTATGGCTTCAATCGGAAACCGCCCTCAGCAGTAACTTTAATTACGAAAATTAAGCTTACGTGTTATGTAATAAATACGTAGATTGTCCTTGAAATGTATCTATTCTTATGCGTAAATAAACTAAATAATTATAAATTAATATATTTTCCATCATTTTAGGATGTCAAGCAAAGCACAAAAATGTTTATTAGACGGACCGAATAAAAGTCAACTAACATTTGAGATATTTTTTAGTTTTACATCACCTTTATTTTGCTGCATCGTTCACGACGCGAATAAAATATTGTTCTGCCTTTAGAAAAACAATGTTTGTGCGTTTTCTTTTTCAATTATAGAGAAAATAAATTATTTCACTTCAATATGACACTCTGAAACAGCTCGCAAGTGAAGATTGCGTTAATCCTCTATTATCTGTAGTCACCACAGATTATGTATGCTAAGTTTGGCGCCAAAATAAACGTCAATTCAGATGAATTGTAGAAAATAAAAAGTACTATTGACAATGTTTCGAGTAATTACCGTTTCACCAGGTGATTCAACAACTTGTGCAATTATTATATGAATTTTCACAGCAATGCTAATCTTGTGCAACTTTACTGATAATCTCATTTAATTTTTAGTATTGCACAAGATGAAATATGAGTCTAAAATAAGAAATTGTAACAGGATATAGAACAAATATTTTTAAAACCTAAACTAACTTAAATGTATTATTATTAATTTTAGTAATCGAAAGAGAATTTAAAAACAAGGATGTGGTTAAATGTTTATAAAAAACTATAATTGAATTGTGGAAAGCAGTGGAGTAACTTGCTGACGTCTAAACTTGTCGTAACTTAACTGGTGAAACTGTGCCAGATAAATATTAAGATAGAAAAAGAAGGAGCATCATAACATCCTGTAGAATCACCTACAAAATCATATCTTATTTGTCTATCCCATTTGCTTTTGTAGGTCTGCTGCAATAAATTTTAATTCCAATTAGGAATTAAACAGTATCTCTCTACCTGTTACAGTCAAAAGTACTTTTCTAACTAACTTAATTATAAAAATGAAGTGATATCAAACTGTTGCTATTCCCGTCTTTGAGATAAACTTTTAAGTAAAGAACTTAATCGAACTTGTTCTTGAGGTCCTAAGGGGACTTTAGACTGTCTTTCTAATTTGACTGGTCAAGAACTTTTGAATGAAGAGTTCTAACTACAACATATGCAATTCCTACATTTTATGACTTAGGTACGATAAAATATATTAATTTTTAAGTTACCTTGTTGACTTTGAGTGTGTGCGGATGCGGCTCGGCGAGCAGCGCCCGTAGTTCGCGCAACAATCGGCGCAGGCGCGCGGGAAACCGCGGGTCGCGCAGGTCGCCCTCGCATGTCACCACCACGCCGCACGACCCGCCGCCCGCCGAGCCTAGCCCATCGCTGTCCGCTGCCATGCTGAGGATGACAAACTTATATTACTAATATTGTCCAACACAATATAATCTAATTTTATTTATTTTCTTGTAAATCTAAATTCTAATCTAATGAGAATAATACTTTACAGTAAACACTGTGAACTCTTCTCATTCTTATCATAAAACATTAAATATTAAGACTTGAAAATTCGGACCCAGCCCTCATAACTTTGTTTAAAAAAAATTGATGAGGGCAAATTCAGCCTTAAGTAAAAATATTAAAAAATATATTATACAATTTAAAAACAAGATCAACAATAACATATATTTTCTACATTATTGATGAAATACTTAATTAAATATTGATGAAATACTGCAAGATGAAATACTCTTTCTTAACACTTATTTTTTTCTCATGTGAAAAGTTTCTTTCATTATTAAGAGAAGATAAAATTTTCTAAATGGCTAATTAAAGGTTAACATCCACTAAAACAGCACCCATAGACAATAAAAAACCATAAACTTTACGCGCGACGCGATATTCTTTATCGTGTAATATAAACCGCGCGTACGCAACGGCACACCAGACAGAATCGCGCGCAAACGCGACGATACAAAGGTCGCGGGTCCACAGATTTATGACTATGTTAAAAAAACCTGTAGTTTTAAAACATCTTTAATGATATTGTAAAATGCAGCTGTTTTTCAAGAATACTAAAGTTTTTTTTTGTGTCATAAGTTTGACTAAAACAAATAATAATGGTGACAAATTGATCAATTTCAAAAACTTTAAAATATGCAAACTTGCTGTCTTTCCTAACCAACTTGGCTAAAGAGGTTATGTATAGTATTATTTATTTTCATTATCATTGCAATACATGAAAACTACTTAATTTGATAAAAGAAATAATAATAAAGCAAGCACATATATGAAACTGTTGACAAAGCAATGTTTACTTATGCATAGTACACTTATTTCTGGAGCCACACAAAGTTAATCGAACTCAACAATCTCAACTTTAACTTATAATATTACTATAATACACATCCACACTACATTAAAATAACAATTAGTATATTACAATATACATAAAAAACATTAAATAACTTGTACTATGCAGGTGGAAAGCAATTGCTTGAATCACCCCAACCACCTGTTACTCTTCCCACATGCCAATAGGGGTCAAAGTAAGCACAGATAAAAACAGTATTTGTAATAAGGACTTTTTTGATGCAAGAAAAGACTTATTAAAGTAATAAGCATTTGTGAATGTTTCAGAAAATAGGCAATAATTTTTATGCTATAATTATAAATGTATGATGTCATTACTTTTATATTTCAAAGTTTTATTCAAACTTGAACTACTTTCATTTCGTTTTTCGTTGACCCTGGTTTCCCCGACTAGAAACTTTTTGGACATTAACCTCATCAATCAACTGTGTTTATATTTATGCTCTTTACACTAAACATATCATAATGTTCACCATCCATTATAAAGATATATTCATCAAGTAATATTAATTATCAACATCCTTTTACAATATTTCAAGTTTAGAAAAAAAATATTCTAAAAAAAGTTGAGAAATTAATTGAATAGGTCAAGGAAAACCGAATCACAATGGCCCATAATTTGGTACCCTAATATTTTCCTTAAGACCAATCTGAAATTATCTATAACAGTAAAATTATTATTATTTTTATACCAATTAAAACTACAATCATGTAGCAATGACATCACAGTTTACATCATAGTATGATAAGCAACTTATACTAATGTTATAATTGCGAAAATTACTTTGTCAGTCTGATTGTTGCTTGGTGGTAAGTTTGTAACAATTAAACCAATTTTGATATGATAAAATTTTGTTATAGATAGTTTAAAACTAGAAAAATTGTAATTAATGTGTGTACTTTTTTTAACTAGGAATCTGAAGATTTTGGTCAATATTAAACTGTCAAACACCAAGCGGTCACCAGTGACCGCAACCTATTTTTCTATAATTGTGTCTACAAAACCGGTACTCGACGAGTTAAAAAAATACTATGTTGGTAAAATCACACACAAATATTAGTATTATAAAAATTATAATAATAGTGCTCTACAATAGATTTTTTCTTTATTTCACTACGGCAATCTACAATGATGGCACATATCTCACATTATCACTTATATTGCTTTCTCATTAAGGTTTAATTCATGAAATAATTTTATCAAATCAGCTGTGTTTTGCTAAGAAACACACATATTCAAGGTCACAAACAGAATTTGTCAATGAAATCTATGTTGTAGGTAAATATTCATAACAAATTGAGACTATGTGGCCAAAATAACTTTTTCTTTGAAATAAAACTGCATTCTAATCGGAAATTAACTACTTTACATGATAACATGATAACTGTAACTATTTTCAGTATGGAGTCTGATGCAGAGGATATTGTAAATATTTTTATTTTTTTGAAAAGACTGCTGTACTTTTTTGTTTAAGATTTTGTTGATTTTGGCTTGATCTATTAAATTATTGACTTCTTTATCATGTTGTGTTTTATTTGGTAATTAGTTTTTCATTTTGAGATTTAACACTGTCACAACTTCAATAAAGTTACATTAAATAAATACCAACTAAAGTCATACTATTCAATTGGAGATTTTTACCAACAAGAAACTCTGGTTTTAGAATTTCTCTATATCTAAATTAATAAAACTGAAATATTATCCTCATACCACTACAAAATACTATCACTACAGTAAAGTTATGAGAAAATCATTAAATATTATTCTTATCATGCTTTCGCAAGCAATCTTTAACTACACACAAAATACGTAAACATACTGATATAGAGGCTTATCTCATTACAGTGTAACCCAACCCTTATTTAAAAAAAACTACTTGCTCAATGGCCATAAAATTTCTGGACAATAGACAGTGGAGTAAATGTCATTAGAAATGAAAATTACAAATCTCTTTTGAGAATACAATCAGTTTATTTGTTGATTAGAATTTAGTTAATGAATGACACATTAAATATATTTATTCTTTGTATAGTACTTTCATTATGTCAATATTTAGAAATAAATGCGAGAAAGTTTAGTGTCAAACTGAATAATTAGCCAAAAACTTGGAACTTAAACTTTGAAGCAGGAAAGTTCAATATAATTAAAAAATGGATAGGTTTTGGAATGAATTATGGTTAGTTATTTTGGAAGGTAAAAGTAAACTAGTGGTGCTACACTGCCATGAAAAACTCATTGTAATATTCCTGTTACATTTTATATTAATAAATTAAGTACCTAATTATTAACAGTTGTGTGTGAACACCATAGATTAAATATAAAAAAAAATTAAACAAAAAATACTCATAGATACAAAACAAAACATGCCATTTTAATTAGATATTAATTAAACCCTAGCAACAACTAAGTTCTATGATTAATTACTCATAATGCTTATCAATATTTTCGATAGTTATGGTTTTAATCAACTTCCTGAGATTAAAGGATGTGGTATACTGAAAGTGTTTTTAATGTGTTTATATTTCATTAAAAATTATTATCTAAATATAAATAATATTACTTCATTGTTATATTTAAGTTTAATTAGAACTTTATTGGAATTAACACTTGTGTACAGTAAAAATCCGTAAAATGTATTTAAGGTCAATAAAAACAAAAGTTATAAAGTCAAGGAAAGTTAACTTTTATGTATTTTAATGGTTCAGATAACTGAAACTATTTAATACACATAGAGGATCATTTGTGGATGATGTAAACTAAAAATTAGTTGCATAATAATAAAGTACTATTTACAAAAATGTAATGTTCTACTGTGTAACAGTAACTTACAACAAGCAGGTTGTATATCTCATCTCAATCTACCAATAATCCATCATGTGTTAATCAAATAGGTTATGTGTTTTGTCTATGGTACTATTTAATTGTTAATGTTTTGATTATTACTACTCATTGTCCCTTTATTACCTTAAAATCCACTATCTACAATTACATTGTAATATTGTATGCAAAGATGTTGTGTTGTTGAGTGCATTGGTGAACTGTTAACCTTTTAACACACATTTGACAGTTTGCACTATTTGCAAACAATAAAACGTAATAGGATGAAAATATCAATATCGTGTTTGTAGGAAAGAGTAGCTCATTGTGTACAGGTACACAGCCTTCAGAGAGCATCCCACTCGGCGTGCGTACAAGCACAACTACGTATCGACAACACGGCGGCATGTTACACAACTACGAAAAATCTAATACTGTGACACTGCCGCTGAGTTTTTCGGCTGTAATCGGCGCTTTCAGGCGGCCGCAGCGCGGTGCACGTCTTCGCCGGCCGACCGACGTCCTGTCACCCACCAATGTGTCCATTTTGTAATGAACATTGCACTACCCAACACCCCGCCGAATGTAAATAAACTAAAAAATTACACTCACCTCTCATACAATGTCACATTCCGCTCAATTCCACACAATTTCTATTCCCTTGTGTCCCAAATCATGATGGAAAATCAAGCGCAACATTACCGTCCGGCTCGGACGTAAAGCAATATCGTTCCTATGGTCAGTGTCCACTCTACACCAAAAACATATGACACACCACTACTGTCCGGGTCCAGGTGCTCCCGGAAAACTGTCCGGGACTTATTTTCGCTTTTTCACAGACGATCACACGACTAGAATCACTACAATATCACCACGGGTCGAATTCACTGAATTATATTCCAGTGACGCAAAGCTCATATATCGTGAAGAGCAGCAGCCATTTTGAAATGTACGGGGAGAACAGTCACAGCATGGAACATTCGTAAATTACAGCCGCTCCCGTCTCTTGCTACACTCTAATATTGGAGTGATAGTTGAAAAACTTTATGCAGTTTCCATTTTAACACTTTAGGTCACAGAACTTCACTCCATTTTCTTATTGAAACTATCCAAAACAACCTAAGCGACATCCGATAATTCCAGCTTACCCCATTTGCATGACACACATAAAATAGCAAAAAAACACTAAAAACACTTAAAAACGTACATAAAACGTGTCGCGCCGAATTATGAGAAGTTAAAGCATCGTATCAGTATAACAGTCCATTAGAAAAATCGCTAAAAAGATTGGTATATAATTTACAAATAGTTAATTCGGTACGAACAATAACAACGGCCGCCATTTGCAATTTTCAACTTGACATGCGCACTGACTCGCAGTAGACAAACATACGTGACGTAGCTTTAGACAAGCGTTTATTTCATCTATTTTTTAATTTCATTTTATCGATATAAAAATATTTATTTGAATGGTAACATAAAATAATAGTAGATTAGTTACAAAATATGTCATAGTTTCTGCTCAAACCAAATTAACTTCATGAATTTATTACTAATCTTTGAATTTACTTCGCTGTTTCAAAGTCACATCATCAGCCTTTCATGCTCCACTGAAGGCTACTTTTGATTGGTAGATGGTGTTATCTCCATGTTTTTGTAATAATTTTAGGCATTCTGATTGGCTGCCGCCATGAAACGTGATGAAACGAATCACTTCCTGTTGCTAATTATAATAAAATATTTTGAAAATGGTTTGCTAAAGTTTGAAAAGTTTGAAATCTAACTAATTTTACATTTCATCATTATAAACAGTCTTTTCACAATTTGGATATAGATAAATCCGATGAATTCATGTGATTATGAGATTCTATCTATCAATATGGGTTAACTTGGCGGCTTGGCCGGCTTGGCCCATATAACATCTAATATTATACGTGTAAAATTTTATGAGGTTGAGTGTATGTTTGTTATTCAATCACGTCAGAACGGCTAAAGGGATCAGGATGAAATTAGGAACAAGGCCAGATTATAGTCAGGATTAGTAGGTTACTCTTTAACCTACAGAAACGCGGGAAAAACCGCAAGCAAAATCTATGTGTTTAAACTAGTATCCCATAAACACCAAAACATAATGAATCATACTTAATCTAATTGAAATTTTACTACTTGCCAAGTTGTACCAATATCTTGTCTACATTACAGAAATAATAATTTACAAAAATGTTATGACTTTTAGAAAACAGTTTATCGGGAAAATCGACATAATTAAAATAAATAATTACGACTTGAAGCTTACAGTCATACATTTAATCACATTACAACCAGATTTAGTCATATGACTAATTCATAGTAATAAATAAATTAAAGACGAAAACATAAGTAATCTTAAATTTTTTCCGCTATTTTAGACTTTCAGCTGGAACAGATTGAAACAGTCCTTTCCTTGCCATTTCATCAGCCCAATCTTCAAATTCAGCTTTTCTGGAAAATAAAAGTTTATATTAACTTTTTACAAAAACCAACTACAAGGATTGTATTTGTAGAAGAAAAAATGAATATTCAACATCAACTTTTTAACTGATTTCTCGTGAAATATTTTCAAGTTTACTAAAAGTTTTACATTTTACGTTTAGTTTTACATTTCCTCTCATTATTTTTGGTATGTAAGGTTACGATCCCGTATTATCATTGTGCATAGAAAAATAATACGTTTTAAATTTTCAAATATTACAATACCAAAAAGTGAATCGACTAAAGTCTAAGCTCTATATTCGATAAAGACCAATTTTTTTAGTGTGGCAATACCAACAATCAAAAAACAACAGCAACACTAATCATTACTTCAGCAGCACAGAAAAAAAGTAAATGAATGAATGAACAAGACAAGCTGAGTGTGATTGATGCATTTTAATTTTCTAAAGTTTCTTCAAAAAATATAACATTATCCATTATCTATTGACATGTGATAAATAGTGTTTCCGTTTCTACTCATATTTCAGATAACTGAATGAGAAACCTTGTTATTCCCGTAATATAAACAACAACTGTTTTGGTGATTTTGGAACCAACACATAAATGAATGTGAGTTTTTCTGTGGTATTTATTTAAAACTTAGGAATAGTATGATATTAGATAGTATTCGTTATTTATATGACTCAAATAAGTAGCGTACTATCTTTACATGTGTGCTACAATTCCTATTTTAATAGATATATCATTTGCAAAATTTCACTATTGTATCACTCAATCTGGAAATGAAATTGAATTTTTAGGTAAAGTTCAGGGAAAGAGATATGCTAAATGTGATAGGGAACATTTTTACAATAGAAGTTAGTTTAAACATTTGTTTAAGATTAAAATTATGTTTAAAATTCATAAATAATTTAACAATTTATGGTAAAAACTTTGGTTCTAAGAAGATGGGAGTTAATGAACAATTTACCTTAATGAGATGGAATAAATATATAACAATAGGATTTTATTAATGTTAATATCCCTTGTGTACCATAATATCATAGATATCACATTTTTTTTTCTTAATAAGAAAGTAGACAATGTATGAGGAAGAGTGATCAATTTGTGAAATAATAAATAACTAACTATAATCACAAATATATGTACTTATTTATTAAATTTAACACATCTCAGTGTCTGATTCAGCTATATTATATTATTTCCCGATTTCACCACATTTAACTTGTAGTTAAGCCATTATCTCCCGAATACTGTACGGCTATAATTTGAAGTTGGACTTAGCTATCACGCCATCTGTCATTTTACAAATAATTTGTAGTGACAGAACTATACTTAACAGCTTGAATGCACCGATATGAGATACAATAGAAAATACATTATGTCTCGTGTGAATCCACGTTTAGACACACAAACGAAGGGTTAAGCGCAACTAAAAATTTTGTGACTTTTGAGTATTTGGAGATAAGTGACACATTTCATAAGGAAAATAAGTTAAATTATTTATTCAACAGTTTCATGAAATAAAAATAGACTAACATCAAGGCAGATGAAACTAAATAAAAGTTGGTAAAGTAAGGTTGAAGAAAACAGTCATGTTACTTACATCCGAATACTGAAAGGCTACTCAATTTTAAGTTAACCCGTATATCCCCAAGTGGTCACCGGTCACATTTGACAACACGGTTAGGGCGATGCTGGGCAACCGGCTGCCGCGCAACGCATCGCGGTTTCGATTACCGCACGGAGCAACTCTTTCCGTGATTCACAAATTGTTGTTCCAGGTCTGGGTGTCATGTGTAAGTGAACTTGTATGTTTGTAAACGCACCCATGGCACAGGAGAAAATCCAAGTGTGGGGCAACATTTTATTAAAAAAATTAAAACAAAAAGACGAGTGACAGAACAGATACTTAAGCATAACTTAAAATTGAGTAGTGTTTGAGTATTTTAGTGTAGTTCAAGATATTAACATCTTATTTCACCTAGTACCTTCAGGTAACCTATACCACTGACAAGGCAAAAGGAAGTATTACAAAAATGATAAGAATCGGCTCAAAATATTATTCATACATGATTGTTATGAATGGTAGGTTCACAATGCAAGGAGGATGTATGCAAATAGTTTGTATGCTACAAGAAAGGAATTGACTTGCAAACAAATTGTCACAGATTATTTAAATCTGTGACACTCATTGTTATGTTTAGCGCTAGATTGTTATGATTTTAAATTAGATTTTATCCTTGAATTTTTAGTTCAATGATTTGTATTTTATTTTATGTTGTCTTAGGATTTAAGGTTTATAATTCTATTGATAAAAGACGATGTATATTGTATTGCTATGTTCAATATTTAACAAAGAAATTGTTTAATTCTTTCCTATGAAGTCTAGATTTCAGACATGCTTTTACATTTCCAAAAATATTCCAAAAATTCTCACCCATATATTAATTGAAACCTTTCTTTCGTAAAGCGGCAAACTAAAACTTAGAATACGAATGAAACAGTAAACTTCTTACGCATAGAAGTCCCTGTAGGCTTCTCTTCTACGCAGCCCTACGAAAACGTAGGTGCAGATCCCAGCTATAGTTGACGCCAAGATAGCTTGGGCTAGCTTACGCTTCGTCTGAGCCCAATGCAGACCACGCATTATTGGCCTGGAGTGGCATGGTGGCGGGGGCGGAGGCGGTGGGCAAACTGATGGGCACGGCGGGTAGGGCGTAGGCGGGCAGGGCGGGCACGGGGGTAGACCCGGGTCACACGGATTCATTGGACTGGAATAGAAGTGGGGTTAAATAACGTTCCATGTTACGAGTTTCTTTTTCCTCTCAACAAACCTGCCTATCCCTAAAATATCAAGATTTTATCTCGTGTCATGCAATCTCACGAAGATATGAAGTCATCACACTCTCTTTCTTTTTCCAGGTATTATCCCTATAAATGAAAAATGGCACAAAGCTCACACGGAGGTAGTCACAGACGCAGCAGAGATCATGATGGAGGTGCCATGCGGTACACAAACACTGATTGGGAGGCCAAAGAGGCTCTCTACCAAAGAGAACTGGATGAAGCCAGAGCCAGGGCCACGCAGATGGAGAAAACTATGCGATGGTGGTCCGACTGCACTGCTAACTGGAGAGAAAAATGGAGCAAAGTACGCAACGAACGGAATAAAGCTCGAGAGGAGTCTAAACAATTAAAGAGCAAAGTAGACGCGCTGACCAAAGAGCTGACCACGTCCAAGACAGAAAAGAATGATCTAGAACAACAACTAATAGAACTGAAAAGAGACAACGAAAAACTTTTAAGTTTAGGAGAAAGTAGGATACTGGCGGGAGACCTCACCACTGAAGACGGTGTAGAGTTGAGGCGGAAAAACGTAGGGTATCTGTCGCCGAACGAACCTTCCATACGACAAAGAGCGTCGCTAGACTCGCACAAATTCTCAAACGTAGATAATGTCCTCGCGAACAAATTGAGTGAGCTCAGGTTGAGGCTAGACGAAACCTGCAAGTCTCTTCAAAGCGAGAAGGATGAAAAAGCATTCCTACTTTCAAAGATCGAGAATCTAACAGCAGAATTACATAATACTAAAGTGGAAATGGCTCATAGCGATAGAACATTAGGATCCACAGATTCAAGCCATAGCGAGGTAGAAAGGTTACAAAATGAATTACAAGACGAAATTGCAGCCAAACAGGTCTTAGCAGAAAAAATAGCTGAACTTAAAATGGAGATAGAAAGGCTAAAATCTGAGAACACAATTCAGTGGAGCAAGCGAGAATTGCTCGAAACAGAGAATATAGCAATATTGAGGGAAAATAAGAAGTTATATAGTCAAGTGTGTGAACTAAGGGAACAGATACATAAGTTGAACCGAATATCGGACGGAAGCGCTTACTTCAGCGATCACAACAGGCTAGATTCAAATATTCTTTACGTTAGAAAGACCAGCGCTAGTCCGAGGTCCCACGAATCGAGTAACGGCTCATCAGAAGCCAATTTGCACTGTGACGCTAAAACGAACACTTCGGGCGAAGACGACGAATTAGCAATAGTGGAAAGAAACGATAATTGCTAAACAAATACCTTTTTTCAGCTTATTTCCTGATTTGTAGCAAGAACACGAGTTTATCAAGGTTCTGTCAAAATTGAATTAAGAACGCGAAGTTAATGGTATGCGTAATTTATTCTTCTTTGAAATTAGAGCGCGAAGTAGTTGAAAGAGGTGGTATTTCAATGTCGTTGTTTGCGGTTCTCGTGAATGAGTAGAAGAAATTGTAGTTGTATTTATTAGTACATGGATTAGAGATCTCATTGGCATAGCTCGATTTAGCCGTCATCAACATTATTTAAAATATAATACATAGTACCGACGACTTTATGTAATACAGGGAAAATAGTTGAAACAATGTCTGCCCAAGTTTAGAGGTTATACAGAGTTAAAATCACCAAGATAAACTTGGTTAAGTCTGCAAAGATTTAAAAAGCAAATATGAACGTCATACAAAAATTTCAGTACCGCGCGTTGTTACGGCCTAGTTTTATTTATAGTTCCGACTTCCGATTCCATAGATCGTAAAACTAAAACCCGCCAAATTAATGTGTTATAGTTAGAACAAAAATAAATTCGCGCCAAAATAAACGAATGCATTTTAAAATCATTCCATTGCGTTCCATTTGAAACGAAATACGTATTAGAGGGTACAAATATTAGTACCTATTTTACGCTTAAAATTTAGCTGTATGCTAAATTAAATTACACGCCTGGTTAAGGTTACGCGTACGGAAAGCTTCTGACGACTCTTCAAATATTTAGTTTGATAAAAAATATTTACCTTGGAAACGTATTAAAGTAGATATACCGAACTATTTTTTTATACCTGTTCAATCCCCAAGCAGTCACCAGTAACCGCTCTCCACTAACTCCATTATAGACCTAATTTCCGATGTTTAGAGACTACTTTTGTATGAACAAATTTTGAGCATTTTCGGTACGATATAGCAACGTACTAGTTAAGTTTAGTACCTATAATTTGGTTTAATAAAATTAGGGCTAGGAGGCTATTTTGCATTTCGCCACAAAATTACCGTTTCGCGTCTATTACATATTTTGAACATATTTATTTTTCAACACCGTTATTACGGTGTCGTCCAGGTCACACTGATTGTTGGCCCGAACCATAAAAAAATCCTTGAATATCAATTTTGAGGGGGAAAATCATCCAATGACTTCTCCCATCTTGAGCGAGGCGGGAGGGAGTGTCAGACTCTTGACTAAAACCACCCTGTTCCTACTCCTGCCTTGAGCTGGAGCTGCCCGGTAACCCGCTAGGTCGTCCACAGCTCCGGAAGTAACCTTACCATGGCGTCGTAGAATATACATAAAGAAATAATTACCTAAATTAAAGTAGGTACTCCATTAAAGTGACTAAGAACAAGATGTTACACTCGTTAGTGATTGTTGATCATTGTGATAGTCTAGTTTTACATTAAGATGACTCAGAGATAAGTATGTGTCGCTTAGCATCATCGTAAAGTCGGCCACAAGATAGCAACTGTTGCATTTTTTTAAAAAAAGGGAATATCATCTAGTGACTGCTCCCGCCTGGGTGAGGCGGGAGGGAGTGTCAGACTCTTACTGACTAAAAACCACCCCGTTCCTTCTCCTGCACGTCGAGCCGGAGCCCCGGTAACCCGTTAGGTTTTCGCGAGAGCAACTGCTGCATAAGCCTCCTTCAATGACTTCCGACGACCGGTTGTGTCCTTTGCATAGAACTTAGGTAAAATTTTAACGTCCTCCATTTTTTGTACTTTTAAAAAATAAAATCGAATGGTACAGCTTGGAAAAGTGAGTTTGGAATAATTGAGGTGGTTAGAATCGTATCTGTAGCACTACGACTCAATCGGTTTTGATATTTGTTATTTTTACAGTTCATGAATGAATTACATTTGTAGCAGTAACTATAATTCGAATTTGATTATTTATAGGTAAAATAATTCGATTATCAACATCTAATAAACGAAAATTATTATTTGATATTTCATTAGGAGAAATTATAGTATAAGAACGAGTACTGTGTTCGGATGATTGTTTATTCATGGGATTTGGTCCGAAGTGAATGATTCAGTCCAAGTGAAACAAATGATTTGATTTCTGCAAATAGGCTATAAGGCAGCACTTTTACAAGTCAATTTTTTAGCGAACGTTGAGGTCGACATTTCCTAACTGACTACTCTGAAAAAAGTACCGAAACAAACTCAGAGGTCCGTCTCTTTTAAAGTCCAGACAATGTGTATATAAAAGATTATATGTGAGAACCGTGCCAGTTTATTCGTGGGGTAGTGGCCTTTTGAGGGAAGAACCACAAGAGCTTGAGCTGACGTGGGTGCTTACTTTGAAATCAATCTTAAAGTCAATACAATTCCATTCCAATAAAATTCATTTAATATGTACGCAATATGGATGCAATGGGCGTTAGTGTTGCAACTCGAAGAGTACGAAATTTCGCAATAGCAATGTCGATCGATCGGAATTGCATTCATGAGTAAGCCCCCTGTTCTGACGGCAGTACGGATGTATCGGTTTACAGACAGCTCAATTGACAGGTGAGGTTAACTGATCTGACGAAGAATACCAACCAAAAGAACAGGGTCGCACAAATACCGAAACTGCCAGAATAATGGGTAGTTAGATAATATTATATTACTCTTTTTTGCCAAGCTGTACCTATATAGAGGAGTGAGAAATCGTCTATTTAGATTACAGAACAATGAAGTACAGGTGCAGTGTCCCTATCTAGAATGCTTTTCTTCCGTTTTACGACATCTTCCAGAATATGAAACGTCTTTAAAGTAATCTCTGTTTTAAAATAATTAGTGGTGCTAACTTTGGCTTCGGTAATATAAATTCCTAATGGCTTCCATATTTTAAAACAAAACGGTTTTTTACCCAATTTTCATCAACGGTTAGAGTAATTCTTTAGACAGGATTATTCAGCTAGATGCTAAGCGATATTTATTTATCTCTGCTATAAATAAATCCAATATAAGTCCAATGTCAATAATTCCCAAAAAGCTCAATTTAGAGAGATTTGATTGGCTGATTTTTTATTGGTTGACCAATCCCAAAAGTAGATTCGTTTCGCTTTGTTCTAATTGGACTTTCATATGCTAAGGTCTCCTTATATTGATGTAGCTATAGCTATCGGATCGTCGCGGTCGTGGATAAAGACTAGAATTAC